TCCTCCCTGGAACGCTAGCTTCCAAACTGCTCGGCTGGGCTGACGTCTGGCTGCGCCGAGTTCGAGGAAGGGGAGTCCCCGGCTTCCCTCCGGTTGCAGAAGCCACAGTGCAAACCCGTATCCTTAGCGGTGCAGGGGACCGAGCTCCTCCCCCAGGATCCAGCCCCCTGACCTGGCTTTCTTTTTCGTTGTTTAAAGAAGAAATATGTTCTTAGGGTCAGAAAGTTCAGACCGACGTATTGATCGAGTAAAAAGTGAACGCTCCCCCTTGCTTTCAATCCTTTCACCAACCCCGAAAAGGTGAGGGTTGTGGCCACGGTCCAGTGTGCGCGCCCAAGTTCTGGGGCTGCTCACCTCCTAGAGGCCATTTCCCGCGGTGTGCCTAGCGTTAGTTGTCATGGCCTTCGTTCTTAGTGAACTTGGCCTTTGCTCAGTCTTCAGGGCTGCTGTTAAGATTTAAGGATTACCTTTGATAAATTCTTTACAGCTGTTAGCAGTGGTTATATTAGTAACTGTTGACATAAAAAGGAGAGGGCACAGTGCGAAACCAATTTAAACCAACTTTGGGTAGGATGAGTTTCATTTTCTACTTGGTTTTGAGCCGCTCCTTTGTATATCACAGCAACTCACGTGTAACTGATTGACATATGACAACTAAATACAGTAGGGAATTCTATAAGGGGCATTTCTGAGTCAACTGAAAAATATCGGACTGTGAGCAGCAGACCAAAGTGTCCTGTCAGTGTTAAATTCCCCACGGTTGGCGGCTGCACTGGTCTTTTGAGAATGCCCTTGTCTTAGGAAGGGCAGGTGTTTAGGGGGAAAGAGGTATGATGTGTGTAGCTTACCCTCAAACAGTTAAAAAGAAAAATAGAATCTGTACATGTCTGTATGTATATACAGAACGTGAGGGAATCTGGCAGGTCGTGGGAGGGGCAAACAGGTAAGGCACTTGACTGCTGACCAAAAGGTTGAAGTCTCCAGTCTACCCAGAGGCACCTGGGGAAAAAGGCTTGGCAATCTATCGAAAAATCAGCCACGGAAAGCCCTATGGAGAATAGTTTTGCTCTGACATACATAGCCTCACTCAATTGCAATCCACTCAACAGCAACTGGTTTGGGAGGGTGGGTGCAAGTGTTCACACATAGGGTGAATGGAGATCTAGAAAAGTTTCACACACTAGTACATGTGGAGTTCAAAGCCAAACGCATCATCATGGAGTTGATTCTGGACTCATAGATCCACCTTACAGGACAGAGTAGAATTGTCCCTGTGGGTTTCCAAGACTTAACTTTATGGGAGTAGAAAGCCTTGTCTTTCTCCCAGAGTGGCCAGTGGGTTTAAACTGCTAACTTTATGGTTAGCAACTCCGTGCACAACTCACCACCTGGGCTCCTCTACCTGTAGAATTAAGAATCTGAATTACTCTAAAGCCCATGTGTTGTTCGTTGCCATCAAATCAGTTCTGTGTCATGCCCAGCAGAATGCCAGTCCCGTGCTATTCTCACAGTCACTCCCGTGTTTGAGTCCATTGTGGCAGCTACGATTTCCTCTGTTTCATGGACCCTTTACCAAGCACGAGGAGCCCTGGTCGTGTAGCGGTTACGTGTAGGGCTGCTGACTCAAGGTCAGTCATTTAAAACACCAGCTGCTCCCTGGGAGAAAGAGGACCTTTTACTCCCATAAAGAGTTAGTCTAGGAAACTCACGGGCAGTGTACCCTGCCCTGGAGGGTCGCTGTGAGTCAGCATCGATTGGATGGCAGTGAGTGTGGTTTTGGTTACCTTGGGAGAAGGACATGCTTCCCGCTGATAGCATGCCCCAAGTATCCTTTCCCTGTACTGCTTTCATCTGCATGCTGAGCAAATAATCCGAGAATAGTGCCCACCATACATAGTGCCCTCCACATTGTAGGCAGCTAAACATTTGTTGAATGAGTTGACACTAAATTGTACACACTGCCCTTTTTATTTAAGCAGTGAACTTGGATCTGCTGGCAGTGGGCTTATCTTTTCTTGGAGGTTTGAATTCAACCCAGCTGACATTAGTGAATTTTGGTAATCCAGGTTTAGAGAACTAAAGAATTCTCTAACCCTTCCCGGAAAAGACCCATGCCATCCCCTTGGTGATTCTAATTAATGACAATAATGACTTATAGTTTGGGAGATGGATTGGCTGGCTCACCTTGTTGCCCAGAGGGTAGTGCCTCAGGCTTGAGGGAAGAGACAGGGCTACTGCCTTTTTATTTTTTTTTTTTTTTTTTTTTTTATTTTTTTTTGCTACTGCCTTTTTAAGAACCTCCCTACCACACCACCATCTTCACCCTGTAGTAAATGAAGAACCCCTGAGTCGTTTGCCTCCTAACATGAATTAGGAAAGTCAGCACGTCAGCATATGATTACTTGGCCTTGGCTAGTATTTCATCTTCTGCCCAGGACATACAGGAGGGTTTTTAAAAGTTTATTGAAATCTTGTCAGTTGATCCCCCTGTTGATGCACACCGGACCTCATCTGGTTTTCAGCATTCTCTCTGTTTTTTGTTTGTTCATATTAGGGTTTATCTCATTTGTTTTCAGATGTATTAGATCATTGGGGTCGTCCTCTTGAAGTTGTGTTATATGTTTTTCTATTTTTTGGTTTATGAACCCCCGGTTTGGGGTGTGCCTAAAAGGGAGACAGGAGACGATGTCCAGAAGTCCAGGAAGGGAAAGAATGTTTCAAAACTGATTGTGGTAGCAATTGTACAATATTACTTGATGTGATTGAACTATGGAATGATATATGTATTAACTCCCAATCAAAAATAATTTTTAAAAATTATTTCCTTAATTCAGCAGTTCTCAACCTGTGGATCGCCGCCCTTTTGGGGGGTCGAATAACCCTTTCACAGGGGTCACCTGATTCGTAACAGTAGCAAAATTACAGTTATGCAGTAGCAACGAAAATAATTTTATGGTTGGGGGGGTCACAACATGAGGAACTGTATGAAGGGTCGCGGCATTAGGAAGGTTGAGAACCACTGCCCTAATCCAAAGTGCTAACAAAAGAGCAGCGTAAGCAAGGGAACCTCAAAAGTTCATGGAAGAATTCTCTTTTTTTTAAGTAATTTTATTGGAGGCTTGTACAATTCTTATCACAATCCATACATACATCCATTGTATCAAGCACATATGTACGTTTGTTGCCCTCATCATTCTCAAAACATTTGCCTTCTACTTGAGCCCTTAATATCGGCTGCTCATTTTCCCCCTCCCTCCCACTCCCCCCTCCCTCATGAACCCTTCATAATTCATAAATTATTATTGTTTTGTCATATGTTACACTGTCCGACGTCTCCCCGCCCTCTTCTCTGCTGTCCATCCCCCAGGGAGGAGGCCATACGTGGATTCTTGTAATCGGTTCCCCTTTTCTACCCCACATTCCCTCCACCCTCCAGGCATCACCACTCTCACCTGAAGGAGTCATCCATCCTGGATTCCCTGTGTTTCCAGTTGCTATCTGTACCAATGTACATCCTCTGGTCGAGCCAGATTTGTAAAGTAGAATTGGGGTCATGATAGTGGGGGTGGGGTGGGGGGGGAAGCATGTAAGAACTAGAGAAAAGTTATATGTTTCATCGTTGCTACCCTGCACCCTGACTGGCTCATCTCCTCCCCACAACCCTTCAGTAAGGGGGTGTCCAGTTGCCTACCGATGGGCTTTGAGTCTCCACTCTGCACTCACCCACCTTTACAATGATATGATTTTTTGTTCTTTGATGCTTGATACCTGATCCCTTCCACAGCTTGTGGTCACACAGGCTGGTGTGCTTCTTCCATATGGGCTTTGTTGTTTCTGACCTAGTTGGCCGCTTGTTTATTGGAAACATTCCTTTTTTTTTAATTCCATTTTTCTGTGAACTTTTCAGATCCCCTCATTATATCAAAAGTCACATAACTGAATAAAGTATACATTACAATTTTGAATGTGTGGATGATAAAAAATAATGTGTGTACATCCGGGGACATGCAAAAGAGAATGTATGGAAGGATGTACCTGGAACTGGAGATGGTTAAAGTGTTACGAAAACTGGGTATTCAAAAGTGTTAATAATCTGTTTTAGAATCAAAGTAGAAGTTAAAGATTCAGAAAACCAATAGTAAAAGAGTATCAAGAAGTGTTTCATGTAAACTGATGTACCATATGGAGGACGCCTGATGGTGTAATGGTTTATGGGCTATGTGTTGGGCTGCCAACCAAAAGGTCCACGGTTCAAAACCACCAACCGCTCGGCAGGAGAAAATGAGGCTTTCTGCTCCCTAAGGATACACAGTCCCAGAAACCCACAGGGAATCAGTTCTGCTCTGCCTATAGAGTACGTAGCTAGGAGTCAGAATTAACTTGATAGTGAGTTTGGGTTCTTTGATAATGTTCCATGTATTAAAATCTTGCCATTTAAAGTTCTTGTTAATACTTTAGAATGGAAATGGTTTAGAAATTACATTTAATTCTTTATCCTTAACTTGATTAAACACTTTGGGTGATGTAGTGAGCTATGAATTAGGCCATTAACCTCAAGATCAGTAGTTTGAGACCAGTGCTCCTCAGGAGAAAGCCAAAGGATGTCAGCAACCATGAATTTACAGTGTCATAAATCCAATACAAGGTCACTATGCCTCAGAATGGTCTCAGCAGTAGGGAGTTTGTTTTTGTTGTGTTTTTTTTCTCTTGATAAAAGAAGCATTGATGATGCAGGGGTTAAGCGCCCACCTGCTAATCAAAAGGTCAGTGGTTCAAACCTACCAGTTCTCTTTGCAAAAGAAAGACATTAGCTTTGGTAAAGATTTACAGCTGTGCAAACTCTGGGGAGTAGTTGGTTCCTGCCCTAAGGGATCACAAGTCAGAATCAACTGTATGACAACAGGTTTGCTTTTCCTCCAGCACTTTACGCATCAGCAGTAAAGTGAGCTGAGCTTCATTCAGTACAGTGATGCTCAAAGACCCTCCCTAGTACCGTGAAACCTGAACTCGATGGGACAGCCTTGTTTTTCCTAAGTCTCACAGCTTTTCCACCTTTGACTGGGTGCATTCTGACCCCTTTTCTGCCCCTCTCTTTTAGAGGACTGCATTTGCGTTTTCTGTCTCCTTCCTTTATTCTTCAAGTTCCTCAACAGTAGGGTTTGTTTGCTTGTTATTTATCTGGAGTACTTGCAGTTTTAAAAAGCAGGTTACAACATAGCCTCTCCCTGTTACAGAGTCCTTTTCAACTCCTCGTGACCCTGCAGGAGAGCGTAGCACCGCCCCTGTGGATTTCTGAGACGAAATCTTATGGGAGTAGAAAGCTTCATCTTTCTCCCTCAGAACAGCGGTGGCTTTGATCTGCTGACCTTCCTTTAGCAGCCCATCATGTAAGCACTAGGCCTCCAGGATTCCAGACAAAACAGCTTAGGCAACCTAATTAACCAAGAGCATTTTTCGTTTTAGTTTGGCTGTTTCTTTAATAAAAACATTGAAAAATTTTGCCAACCTGAAAGAGTAACTGTAGCTGTCTCATGGGGTGATGAGTTTAGGTATTTTTATGTATTTTTTTATTGTATTTCTGTGACTTATGTAAAACCAGATCTCAGCTGTCATCCACCCAGTTCTACTCCTAGTGACCCCATTGGGCATAGTAGTGCTGCCCCTGTGGGTTTCTGAAGCTGCGAATCTATGCAGGCAGAAAGCCTTTCTCCCATAGAGCACCGGGTGGATTCGAACAGCTGATCTTGCAATTGGCAACCCAATGGGGACACCAGTGATTACTATTACACCAGTGATTACTAGCCTTCTACTAATGTAAAAGAAAAACAAAGGCCACGGGGTGCTTTGTGATTTCAGCAATACTAAAACCTGTTTCTGCTTCTGTTTTTCAGATTAACAAAGTATATTGTGTTGCTATGTTTCACCAAATGTTTTAAGGCTGTGGGACTTTTTGAATCATATGATCTCCTAAAAGCAGTTCACATTGTTCAATTCATTTTTATATTAAAACTTGGGTAAGTGTGTATGCATTTTGGTTCTATTTTTTTATGACTTTAAAGTTTCTTTATAAATTCTGTTTTAGCGGGGGAAGGGGGGGCGGGGATCCTGTTTTAGCTGAGAATCTTTAAAGAAAATTTACATAAATTGGTTTGTGAAATGTATTCTTCCTGGCAAAAATTTTATTTAGAAATGTGCATATGCATAGAAGAATACCTATGGTTAGGCCACAGAGTTATTAGAAAGGGGATTGTTGTACTCTTAATAGCGTGCCAGAACACAGACTTTTACTTTAGCTGTCTGATATCTCATGTCACCCAGCCTCTAAAAACCTCCCCGTACAAACAAGAGTGAAAATGAAAAGAGAAAATAACTTCTGTGTATCTTTTTTTAATATCAAATTTTTTAAAAAACTTACGGGAACAATCTTCTCAAAACACTGAAGTGTTGCAACAAGATTATAGGATTGTTGCCCCACATGAAACAACGGTATCGAGATGGATCAAACATTGTAAGGGAGGTCCAGGAAACCTCACAGAAGAGCCAAAAGAAGGAAGATGGCCGTCTTGAGGAATGAAGAAGCTGATAGGAAACATTCCATAGCTACTGAAGCTGAGCTCACTTATTTCTGCATATTCATCTATGTATCTTTTCATATCAAAAAGGAAAATAGTTTGTACCTTGCAGGTGCCTTGAAAGGGTCTCAGGGAGCCCTGGGCCATAGTATTGCCATAACTCAGCCAGCTGACAGGCACAGAAACTTATCTGAAGCTTGTCTTGGCACAAATAATCCTTATTTTTGAAGTTAAACTAAACGGGGCTTTTTACTGTGTTGTTGGGTCTTCTTCAAGTACAGTATGAAGTTTATATTATTTTCTCTGGTATGAAATCCTTTCTAAATAAAGATTCTCTGGACCAGTGATATTGACAGTGACACCTTCTACATTAATAAAACTATTAAAGACTGTTTAGGGTGCAAATGTTGATCATTCTAGAAGGTGATTCATGAGTTGGATATTTTTATCTAAAACTGGGGAATGTGAAAGATAGGTACATATTAACTAGTACTTCATGCCTTTTATCTCAAAATGTATTACTGAATTGTGGAGAAGAGGTGAATTTTTTATGGGGTGTTAAAAAGCACTGAGATTCCTTTTGTGGCTTTTGAACACCTCTGAAATCAGTTCCAAAAGAAACCTTTCCAGGATGTTGTGATGGGAACCTTCTTAGAGTAAGTGGAGTTCCTTAGTGGATTTCTTAGAGCAAGGCTGTGGAATGTCCCAGCCCATGGCTGTATAAGGTCCCTGAAATCATCAGTACCAGCTAACCTCACGGGCCTCACCAAAGAATCACATTAGGGATGAGTTAATTAAATGTTTGACCAGTATGGCCTGCAAAAGATGTTATAATTATCAAAATGTTGGCAGAAAAAACGTATCCCATCCACTTCACACCACCCCCAGCATTAGAGGATAACATACTCGTCAAGTTTTGTATGTTTTTTAAAAATTCATGCCTTAACTTAAAACCATACCTTATACTTCATTTTGGTTAATATCAATACATTTTAATGTTTTAATATTTACATTAACAGGGCTGCATTTTTTATGGTTTTGTTTCAAAAGCCATTTTCTTCTGGAAAACCTATTACCAAACACCAGGTGAGTGTTTTTGTTTTCCTGGGGGTGGGGGGGTTGTTTGTTTGTTGGTGTTTTCTTTTTTTTTTTTTTTTAACATTTTATTAGGGGCTCATACAACTGTTATCCCAATCCATACACACATCAATTGTGTAAAGCACATTTGTACATCGTTTCTCAAAACATTTTCTCTCCATTTAAACCCCCGACATCAGGTCCTCAATTTTCCCCTCCCTCCCCGCTCCCCTGTTGGTGTTTTCTTTTCAGAATTCTTTATCCTAGCAACTTTGCATTCAGTGGGCCAGTCTATAATGCTCATTCCTTGGTCGAAGGTACTTAACAAATGATTTTAATGAATAGTCTAACATTTTTATTACTACTTGTCCTTGACTTTAATACCATATTTTGAAAATTTAGACATCAAAAGTAGAATGGTGAGATGTTAGAATGTTTAAAAATACAGAAGAGGAAAGAAAGTTTAAAAGGATGCATGTAATTATCTTAACCTTATTCTGAAAGATTTACAAATCACACATAGAGATGTGCCCAAGAGCCCAGTACAAAGTGCCATTGAGAGGCAGGTATAAAGTAGGAATGAAGATGTAGCCTCTGGAATCTAGCCTACTAACTCTGAGCCTGCTGCTTAATTTTTATTTGCCTTAGTGTTCTAGTCTGTAATGTGAAGATAATAATGCCTTCCTATGAAAGACGCCTTGGTGGTACAGTGGTTAAAACACTCAGCTACTGACCCAAAAGTTAGTGGTTTGACCCCACCAGTCACTGCAGGTTTTATAATGGCTACAGCCTTGGAAACCCACCAGGGCAGTTCTTCTCTCTCTGTAAGGTTGCTGTGAGTCTGTCAACTTGATGGTGGTGAGTGTTTGGGTTGTGATAGAGCCAGCCTGTGTACAGTTCTTAGAGTAGTCCTTGCCACGTGATGACTGTGCAGTACATAGTAGCTGTCACTTCCATTGTCGTCGTCATTCCCTTTAGGCACCTAAGATGCAGTATTCACACCAGAAATGCCTTGCGCTAACACACAGTAGTCTTTCATTACCGTGTCTCTGGAGAGCTGTTATACACCACTACATGTTCGCTTTATACCCCAACTTAGATACCTGTGCCAGGATTTTTTTGTTTAGGGTGACAAATTTAGGTAACTGTTGTAGAGATTAAGGGCTTTTATTTATTTTTTTTATGGAATTAATCACTTAAACCCCAACTAAAACATTTTCTCCTTTTAAGTAATTCAAGCACTGGAAATTCCAAATGAAAAGTAACTTAACATTTTCAGCATTAACTAAAATATTGTGTACATAGTAAACTGGTTGGAAAACATAAGTCCACTCTGTAGAAAAACATTTCAGAATTTTATAAATGGTTAAAACGAAAAGAACGTACTTTCATACGTAAGCATATTCTTAAAAATAGAGGTATTCAAGCGGCCATCAAGCTCAGAAGCAACAAAGCCCACATGGAAAAAGCACACCAGCCTATGCAACCACGAGGTGTCGAAGGGATCAGGT